TATATATAATTATATTATATTATTAAACGCTGGCAGGTTAGTTTTTAAAATATTATTGATAAGCATTGTTTACCTCCAATGTTTTTGTTCACCCATTTTAAAGCCTCGAGCTGATCGAACAGTCCTACGTTGCCAGGATAGTCATCATCTCCTGTAGGGGAAACAATCGTTAGGGTTAAGATAAGACAATATTATTCTATTTATAATCACACTAAATAATGATTGTGTTGAAGAGCTTTGAGTTTAATTATAGTTCAGATATATTATATATCATGACAGGCTGTAACCATAACTTTTCAAGCCTAAGGGGGTTTTATTGAGAGCCCCAGAAGTTGGGAGATTGGCGTCATGTGTACATGTAAAGTCCAGAAGAGTGCTCATTTGGGGATCAGGTGCACCTTGGAGATGAAGCATTATTTTGATTATTTTTTAATTTCTTATGTAAGGAGAATTGTTTTTCAGAGGTTGATCTCTCTGAAATTAGGTTCGGTCGAACAAACCTCTTTTAGATTCTGGCCTGCTATAAAATCTTTAACAAATTCTTAATTCTTATTGGATGTTATTATATTTCCGGATTGCATTGGACAATAACATCCAATCAGAATTAAGAATTCGTTTGAGACTTCCAATCCAATCCAATCCAATCCAATCAGGTACCGTACTTTATAAAGCGCCTTTTTTTTTTGCAGATACGAAGCGCTGCACCCCACATATTTAGGCACCTCACAACCCACAGGCAGTCAAGCTAACCCAAGCACAGAACAAGTAAACAAATCAAAAGAAACAGTGACAAAATTCAGAATCATAAATAAATAATGCAACAATAAATGAAATAAAAATAAAAATGAAGATAATTAATTAAAGAGGTGAGTTTTTAAGTTGGACCTAAAGACAGCCACAATGGTGAAGATCGAATGTGCACTGGAAGGTTATTCTAGATGAGTTGCACCTCTCACGGAAAAGATTTGTTACCAATACGCTTGTTAAATATAGGTTCATGAAAATTAACGTTCAAAGCTGATCTGGTACGAATTTTCTTTTTACGTACAAGTAAAAAGTCAGAGATATATTGCGGGCATAGGCCAGACAATGCTTTGAATGCAAGGACCATTAATATGAAATACACCGTGAAGTTCACGGAGAAGATGTGATGTGTGAGTATGAGAGGATCGGATGTTAAAAATTAAACGTGCAGCAAAATTCTGCAACTTCTGTATTTTAGAGAATCTGTTACAGACAACTCAGAGTACAAAGAATTGCAGTGATCAATTCTTTATAAAACAAGTGCACGAACGGCTGCAACCACTTGCTTATAATGTTCCTAGCATTAGGCCTAATAATAATAATATTAATAATAATAATAATAATAATAATACTGTATGCCTAATAACAATATGTCGATTTATATAATGTCCAGAAAGTCCATTAAAGTCCGTTATTAACACTTAGGCTATTACGTCGCTAGTCTGTTATAGAGTTTTTTTTTGTTCAGCACGGCAATCCAAACTCAGTTGTCACAATCATTATATTGACAAATTTTAAACATAACAATTATATTATACAGGCCTATCAAGAATTACCCTACCTAATTTATTATCTTCCTACTTTAATCTGTAATTGTCAAAATAATAATAATAATAATAATAATAATAATTATTATTATTATTATTATTATATTATACAGGAGTATCAAGAATTACCCTACATCTTCCTATTTTAATCTGTAAATAGAAGATTGCTTTGCTGGATAAATGATTTTTATATTGAAAAAGGTATTTAAATATGAACATATTTCGTCCGTACCTGTTGTAAGAAAACCATAAAAGTTGAGCCTGTAATTGATGGTTACCACAATGACGTCACCGGTGGCAGCTAATACCACCCCAGAGTAATCGTCTGTTGAGGCAGTGCCTGTCAGGAAGCCTCCTCCGTGAATGAATAACATGACAGATGCGTTATGTGGCTAAATAATAATGATAAAATAGTAATAATAAATCTATGAAGCATTAAACAAATAATATGTTGGTAAAAACAATATCGCATAGGCCTAATTATACAACATACTATTTAATAAAAAATAATTATATGACAAAATATTTACACAGAATCGAGGATTCTTTACCTTAGATTGGGGAACAAATATGTTTAAGTACAAGCAATCTTACCCGCAACTGTATACGGATTTGCATCTACAGGCTGGATGCACGGTGGACTATAATCTGTCGCGTTCAAGGTACCTATCCAATGTTCTTTTGGGCTCGGCTTCTCAAAGCGCAGACTACCAACTGGGGGCTCGGCGTATGGAATACCCTTGTATACATCGATATACTTATTGACACCTATGTATGAATCTTCAGAAAAAAGAATCGTCTTTCCTTCAACTTCTCCCAACGTTGTAATTACGTGTGGAGATTGACCGTAAACTAATGCAATGATGCAGGAAAGCGTAATGGTTGTGAACATTTTGGAATGCATAGCTGCAAGCCACGGGGTATAATGTGTAAACGAATACTGTACTTAGTGTTAAATAACTATTTATAAACTAGGCCTACAAACTGTTTGTAGACGGTATATAATAAAGCTTGACCTTTGCTCATGGAGATTGCTTATGAAACACAAGTCTACCTCTTCTGTCTACTTGGTAAATATATAAACTTGGACGTTTTGGGCATTCAAAATGTCCTTACGTATATTCTCGTCTATACTAAATTAAGCATTAAACATCGACTTAAAAAGTGGATATTTTACCTGGTCACTAAACTCGAAATTAACCTTACAGTCGTATTTTTAATAGCATCACTAGCTACGTACGAATACACTTCCGGTTGAAATCTGGCATTGTCTTAAAACAATTGTGTAGGCATATTAATAATATATATTAATGCTTGCAGTATACCATGTAGATAGATCTGAAAAGAACTGTTGTTGTTTGAGAATGTCTTGACGTTTCGATTGAGTTCCTTCAATTGTCTTCAGGAGAATAATATATTAATAATATCTTTCAAGTCTTTAATAGGCTTACAACTTATATTAAGCTTACAATGTTAAGATGAAATTTTGACTGACAATGCATTGATGACGAATGATATAAGACTAACTGTAAACATATCATTCCATAACTTTAATTTTAGTTAATAAAAATTTTTAAAAATCCTGATTAATAGTACTAAATGATCGGTAATGTTAAAAATATATATATTAATGTATATGGAATGTAAGCCATCCTCCTTTTATTAAGGATTCCGAGTAAAGTAACTGAGTGACCCTTGCCTCAAACCCTGCACACACGCCGTGTCATCTATCTCTAATTTTGTGTCTACAGTAATAAAAGTTAAAATAAAAAACATTTTGTTACAATCATGGTAACTCTCTGGTCACCCGGATCGAGGTAGCAAATGAAAATGCTGTAATTTATTACAGTGTTATGGTATAATTGGAAGAGTATAAATTAACTTTTCCCTGGTATAATACAATTAAACCTCCTTGTGCGACCACCTCCCGTAACAATCTTAGCCATTAACGTCCACTATGGTCCCGTTTGTTCTTATTATTTAATAAGCGCATTATATACCTTTCGCAAGCCAACACTTCCTGCCAGTGGCTGCGACCACTTTTTGACTTGGATTTTTCTTATGATTTTCCTCCCGTAAGCGACCACCTTAAAAGTTCGTAATATCTTTTGACAACAAATAAAATCAGATCATCTAACAAGTCGATCCAAGATGTTTACATATACAAAGATGTTTACATTTACATATTTTGTTTTTCTTTTTTTCATTTTTTGTCACCGCTGCGTCGGATTATTCTTTGTTTTGTTTAAATATATAGAAAAAGAAGTCGATCCAAAAATTCGACATGACAATGGTGCACCGTCAGCTGCGTCAAACCATTCAGAAATTAATTCCTCCATGGTCAAACTAATATTGAGGCTTAAGCAAAACTATATCTTTTCCTGATTTTACAAAAGCACTTGATTTAAAAAAAAACAAACTTTCGACAACTTAAACCATGTGAGTTTTAGGGCACTGTGACACAGGATACTACGGTACTCTTCTCAACTCCCGGAACGAAAATTCACTATTATTTCGATATACAAGTATTGTTGAAGTGAGTTCAGACTGGTAAGTTATTAAATATAGAAAAAATGCACCAACTTAATGAAAAAAGTATGTCCGAGTGTACAAAGGAACAAAAAGTTTATTGTGAAAATATAATTACAATTGATGAGTGTAAACAAGCTGTGTTTAATATGAAAAGTAATAAAGCGCCTGGAACAGACGGTATAACTGCTTTTATAAGCATTTTTGTCCAGAGATTTGAGAGAGGTTATGTAATATTTTGATTGAGTGCCTCAACAACAAAGAAATGTCCGCATTACAGAGAAATGTAGTTATAAATCTAATATGTAAAAGTGGTGATGCTGGTATGAGATATTATAAGTGAAAGTAAAAGTGAAAATGATAGGCCTAAGTTAGATTATATCGATAATATTATCGTAATCTCTTGCATGTTGGTACGGGGTTTTAAAGAAATGTAAATTAAGTATGTTTGCAGATGATGCTATCATATATTATGCATCAAACAATGACGATGCAATTTGCCAAACAATAAATGAAGAACTTGCTCAAATTCATGATTGACTAAAAATCATATTATTAACCACTGCTTTACATAGGAAATTGTACGTTCATAGTTTAATTGTATGTTCACATTCACTTTTACTTCTCTTTTTGGAAAGTAATTACGACACAATTACTCAAAGGTGAGTTATTATTACATACGGTACCGTGAAACATCAATAAAATATAAACAGGTTTAACAACGTGTACGTTGGTTCATACTTTATGTTAGTCAATGGTGAACATTTTTTATTCCCAAAATCATAATTGATAGGTTATTGCCCTTTTAAAGGATGATAAGCTTTAACGATATTAATAAATAATAATAATAATAATAATAATAATAATAATAATAATAGTTATAATAATGTAAAATCACTAAATGTTGAACCACTGTTTATAAAACACTAATAGGCCTATTGCTTACTCGATGTGATATATTAACACATTCCTATTAAGTCTAGTCTCTATTACCAAATAAAAATCCACCGTACGATACATGTGGTGTTGTTAGTACGTTAATATTACAACAATTTGTATTAATAACTATAGTATTTGTATGTAAGTATTTTGATTCGCAGTCTTCCTTTAAATATATTCTCAAATTTAGGCACAGACCTACATATTATTTAAAGTTTTTGTATCCTTTAGGTGCAGACTTTGTTTGCTTTGTAATCATTGAAAGCCTTCTGCCATTCAGGTAGGTCATTAAACTTCCAGCTGTAGTAATCGTTCCTCCATAATTCTTCTGTTTCGGACATGTCAGCTAAAATAATTAATGAAAACTGAATAATATTTTTAACAATACAAATAAATTCATATAAATCTGAATACTGTGACGCACTTTCTACACAGCAATAATTAGGAATATTCAATTAGTACTAGAGTACTTTGAACATTTTTGTTATATGTTATAGGCCTACCATATTTTTACAAAGTGAAGTTTAGAGTATAACTGATTATATGATCTTTGAACAGTAATAAATTTAAAATTATGGGAAATATAAAAAAAAAATATTGAAACCATCAACAAAATATTTTTAACACGCAAAATTATTGGCAGAAAGCAGAATGTGGAGTAGTTTGATTGAGAAAGGATTTTAATTGAACATTTAAATATAAACGGAATGCTTCGAGAAAATTTACAATAAAAACAATCAACTTAAAAAATGTTTATGAGCAAAATATAACTTTGTACAAGCCTAAATAATGACAGTAAAAATAAAAATACAAATTAAGCAGACAACATTTACAACAAAATATAACTTTGCAAGAAACACTCCAACGTTCAGCACATGGATGTTGGTCTATTCATATAGCATACCTGCAAATTGTTTGAGTTTTGGTTCATACGTGCTCCAGAAGGCACACTTGTCGGCTCGATAAGCTCGTTCAGATGACGACATCGGATTAATATCGAGGTAGTTAAGTTCAGGAATAGTAAACTCTGGCCAGAAGGTAAGATCCCTATCGAAGGAAGGGGTTGATGCCTCGCGCCCTCTGGTGTTTGGATCTCTAACAGCATAATTAGAAGTAAAGTAGTTGAAAGTTTATGTTGAATAGTTTACAGTTGTTTAGACGTTTTAAATGTTAAGAAAACTTACCCTGTGTTTGCAAAGTTGGTCCAGTATCTCATAAACTCCACCGACAAATTGCGGTCAATGTCAGACGGCTGTTCTAAAGAGTAGATAGGTGTTCCATTAAGAAAAGGCAACCCGAACACAAATGAAAGTTCTTCGGCATGACTAGCTCCAAGCCAGTCAAAATCGAGACCAAATATCGAAACTTCCGGAGTATGAGACATCACATAAGCATACACTTTGTTACCAACTGAGGCATGCGCGCGCTGTACTGCGTCACTTGGACAGACAAACTGAAAATCTGTGGCCAATCGAACACTTGAATCGAAAAAGTTAGCTTCAGGGTCGTCTGCTTGAGACCAGTCGGTGTATTCGAAATATATAGAGTCCAAAATAAGAGGATTTGATGCTTCTTCAATTGGAACAAAAATCACTGGAATAAGATAAAGGAACTCGGATTTGGAAACTTTAGGAGTATCTGGTGATAGGTAGTCTGGTAGGTTAAAGTAGAAAGATGTTCCTTCATCCTTATTTGTTCCAATGATGATGTTTGTATCAGTTTTAAACTCTTCATTTTGTATCAGAATCTCTGGACTTCTTTCAATAAATATTCCGTCTACTACGGGCCCCGGATAAATAGTTATCTATTAGCATAAAAAAATATTAAAATTATTTGAAAATTACAGGTTTACAGGAATACAGCCTATTTATTTAGTAAATGAATGTATTTGCCAAAATACCCGATTAGGCAATTTGTTAGAAGTATAGTTTTCTTTATTTTATTCTTTTAATACATTGATGATTTACATTGTATAATAAATTAATTGAACCAACCACACTTTTTTCTATAGTGTGTAATTATTAGCATTATTAACAACATATTCATTAGACCACTTTGTTTGAATTTGATACTGTTTCTTCATACTAAATATAACAATAAATTTGAGTTGATTGGCTCAAAAAGACAAATACATACTATATACCGTACAAAGGCAAATTTTAAATTTTAAAACCAGTTGCAACTGGCCGAACACCTAAAATATTGTAATGAATGCCATGGCATTAATAGGTCTTATACTTCTACAAGAATATTGTCTATTTTGGTTACATGAAAACATAATTAAATCACAATTATCTTACCCCAACAGAAGCATCTACAACAGCTCCAGGATCGACACCTTTCATGCATTCTACAAATGCATTGCTATCCGTAAATTCACAGCCTACTTTCTCACCAATGGTGATTGCTAAATTTTTGGATTCTTCCCGTTCTGTATAAGCCCAATCACAAAGAGCAGTTCCACTCTGAAATTTATAATCCAATGTATGTATGCTGGCAAATTAAGGACACTGACAAAGTTGGCATAGAACAAAAAATTTCATCTATAGAAATGTTTGTCTGCTGTTTTGACTCAAATGTGAATACACATTATTTTTAGGAAAAGGTTGATACATAACATATATTATAGTATATAAAATCTTTCATAGGATAATAATTATTTATATCACTGTATAATAATAACATTCATTACTATTAATAAAAAATACTACCGGTACTACTGCTAGCACTACCACCACCACCGCCGCCGCCGCTGCCAGCAGCAAATGCAGCAGTAGCAGTAGTAGTAGCAATAGCAGCAGTAGCAGTAGAAGAGCAGTAGTAGTAGCATCAGTAGCATTTATCAATCAATCATACATACCTCTAAAATCGCTTGGCTAAAATAATCCCAACTTTGCTTTGAGAGGAGATGATAATCTACCATGGCCGATCCAGCACTTTCACCGAAGATCGTCACACGTGATGGATCACCTCCAAATGCTGTGTAATGTAACAACAATTAATTTTTGAACAGTGTAAATTCTACAAAATATTACGTTCAGAAACAAACGTGTTACTGGTATCAACATTACATTATTATTTCAATATTTGCAAAAAATGATACAATTTTTAAAACATCAAGGCAAAAATAGTCACATCAATGCTATGTGATACAGCAAGAAAAAGTAATTGAAGCTGGATTTATGAATATTCGCGAAAAATGCCGTCTTTAGCGAGGCTGTGGGTGGGGGTGGGGGGAGCGCTAGATATTTGCAGGAGGTCCCAGAAAGAAAAAGGTCAAAAGGTCACTCCTGTATAAATAAATGAAACACATTTAAGTTACTTGGGGAACCGTCTTCTCTCTTGTCACCCTTCCACACAGGCTCCTCTTAAAATGTGTTTCGTGTTAGGCAAATGCAGCACGCCGACAAAAATACCACCACTGTTACACTTTTCGGAACGTGGTAAGCTTTTTTAATCATAGGCCTATCTGTAACTTATTTCGACAATCCGACATGAAAATAATTTATTGCCCCAGTATGTTCCAAGATCGCTACAAACACCAAAGTGGGAGCCAAAAACGAACCATGGATACTAGCGATAGAATAAGAAAATTATGATTTTCATTATTAACCTGGCCTATAGGGAGAGGGGTGTAAAAAGTAAACAGACACATGTTATCTCACCTCTGATCTAAATTTATTTTTAATTTAAGAACTAGTATTTTGCCCAGGCTCAGTGTTCTTATTTTTTTGGCAGATTTCAGACTCAAAATGTTCTTAATTTACACACATACAAAAGTATTATTGTACATCGGTGACAGTGGCCCCGGTAAAAATGGCCTCTCAAAAAAAGGCAAGAAAAAATGGCCCAGAAAAAAGGCCCTGGTATAAATGGCCCCAAATGACACCTACTGTACTGTATTATAGAGGGTATTACATAGTTGCACCTACTGCACATAAGGTGCAGATATAATTTTTTTGGTTTTTCTAGATTTTTAAAATAAAAATCTCATTTGACATTTTACCTCAGCCTCAATTTGTTCTTGTTTTGTTCTTAATTTTTAAGCAATTTCAGCCTCAGTGTTAATATAAAATATGTAAAAAAGTGTATATATGTATAAATTTATATAGAACACGTCAAAATAAGAGATTGTGAAAATGTATTTCCTTGTTACGTCGCGTGACTCTGGTCGACTGAAACTAACTAAAAACCATTGTCAATATAGGCCTATATTCAAAGCATACGGTACCTAAAGCTCACTTAACTGTGTAAGCTTATTGTACTTGTTTTGTGTTGCTTGGTGTTTTCTTATAATATAGTTTTTCCACCAGTATTATATGCACACTTACCTATACTAGGATGCACTAGACCTATATTACTACACTGAGCAATGCTATTCGATAAAGAGAGGAAATACTTTATTGTGGTTGATTATGACAATATTGCTTGAATATTATTTGAGAGACAAATTTGAAATTCAGTCCGAGTTTAAATAAGGCCCAAAACAGAAAATTTCAGCTTCGTCTGGCGGTGATCAAACGCCTCGACATGTGAAAATGTACCGTACTGTACGCGTTTTACAAGTACAAACGTTTAATGTTGAAAACTGAAGAGACGACGACTGTAGCATAGCTTAATAGAAGAGAAATAATCAAGCAGTGAAATGAAATTATAATGTGGCATGGCGGCCTACTTGCATACGGACACGACGGGATCGTAAATATGTAGACGCAATGGCCGTATTCGACTGGTCGTTCTTCGTTAAACCACGCCCACCTGCGCAGTGGTAAAATCCTACTTAACAAAGACGACCAATCGAATAGAAAACTGGTAAATACGCGACAAAACAAAATGGCTGCATAGTATACCGCGATACGCGCTGCATTATGAAGGCTGCTTCGGATTGTGGCAGTATGGGTTTTTCGTAAAAAAATGTTTTCATCCAGTTTTTTAATTCTGTTAGCCTACAATTATTTCAATGTGGGTATTGTAAGTTATATTTTCTGAAATTTAATCTAAATTATGTTAACGCAAATTTTGTAGCTAAACTAACCGATCGGCCATATTTTTTTTGGTCACGTGCATAACTTAACTCTGATTGACGCATTCTGGTTACGTTAATTTTCGTTGTCAACAAAATCTATTTTACGAACCAGTCGAATGAAAATAATACTCAACTCAAAATTCGTACTCAACGAAATGAACCAGTCGAATAAGACCAATGACTCCAAACAAACACAAATTCTTAAAATTTAAGATGAAGTTAATAATAATATATAGGCCTAATACTAAATGTTCTTTTCCATCGCGTAAGTATTTCCAAAAGTTCAAATGCCATGAGGCAGCTTCGTATCTTTTGAATTTATTGAAAGTTTTCATTTTGTTTAAAGTTTGTTTAAATACCGTACATTGGTGATCATATTTCATGAATACGTTTGTATTTATGGTTCACTGCAAGTAGGTCGCTGATTGTTCTATTAAATTGTCAATATTATGCTTATGAAATACCCAGTCGATCCTAAACGAAGTAGAATGTGCTGAATATCCTTTAAAATATTTGTTTTCAAATAGTTAAAAGGTATTTCTGCTGTAAATAGCGTAATGTTTGTTTACTGATGGCTTTCATCAGATGAAAACCATCAGAAGGCTCTGTCTTTGGATCCGATCAGGACACTTAAAAGTACCCCGACTAAATGCACTCAATTACAATATCTTGCACTAGGGCCCGTCACCACCTCCCTACGCCGCTGTCCAAAAAACACTCTAGTTTTATCATATAACTGACGAATGCATGATGTTGAATATGAAATAATTATTATTAAGAAATAATATGAAAAGGTCAATTTTGATAAAATGTTATTTCTTGAATTATCATAAATGTGTATTGTTAGCAGTTTTTGGAATTATTTTTTGTTTGTTTTTGTTTTCAACAATAAGTTTGTTTACCTCCAATGTTTTGGTTCACCCATTTCAAAGCCTCAAGCTGGTCGAGTAGTCCAACGTTGCCGGGATATTCATCGTCTCCTGCGGGGAAAAATAGACATTGCAGCGGAGTTATATTTAGAGGTATATGTTCACCTTCACTATTCTCTATACAGGCCAGTAACCGGAATTCCTTAAGAGATTTTTTCTAGGATATCCATAATCTAAAAACATTATTGTTGTCATAAGATTAAATACTTAAATCTCAGAATGATACTTATAATATAAAGTATTAGAATAATTTATTATCTTCTTCGCATAATAATGTAAGCCTGTACCAAGGACTTTTAACCTTGCCTATACCCTGTAATTAGCAAATCAAATGTAGCTCGAAACCGATAACCTCTATTTCAAACAATATAGTTAGCATGTTAATGTATGAATATAGTTCGACCGTACCTGTTGTTAGAAAACCATAAATGTTGAGCCTGTAATTGATGGTTACCACAATGACGTCGCCGATGGCAGCTAATACCACCCCAGAGTACACGTCTGTTGAGGCAGTGCCTGTCAGGAAGGACCCTCCATGAATGAAGAACATGACAGATGCGTTATGTGGCTAAAGGATAATAAAATAGTAATGAAAACTATGAGGTATTAAACAAATAATATGTTGGTAAACACAATGTATAATAATCTACAGTAAACATACTATTATATTTCAAAGCTATGCTGTTATTTAATGTAACTCATAAATGAATGGAATTTTGCTGATTTTGTACCTCTTACTCAGAACATAAACACATCATACATTGGGAATTCAAGTTTATTTCCTGAATTGATTTCTAGCTAAAATTAATTCTACCCTACTAAAATAATAACTGAACACCGAATCAAGGACTCCTTACCTTAGATTGGGGTACAAAGATGTTTAAGTACAAGCAATCATCTTCACCGCCACTGGACTGGATGCACATTGGACTATATTCCGTCGCGTTCAGGGTTCCCATCCAAGGCTCTTTTGGGCGCGGATTCTCAAAGCGCAAATTACCGACTGGGGGCTCGGCGTATGGAATACCCTTGTAGACATCGATATACTTATTGACACCTATGTACGAATCTTCTGAGAAAAGAATTGTCTTTCCTGCAACTTTTCCCAATGTAGTAGTTACGTGTGGAGATTGAGAGTAAACTAACGATATGATACAAGAAAACGTTAGAGCGTTGAAGGTTAAAGAAACCATGATGCTTGCCACGTCCTAAATGGACTAGTCTTCAATAACTCTTACAATATTCTAAGTGTAAACGGTTTTATTCACCACGGTAACCGCACACTAATAATACGTCTTCAGATCATGTTTACTCAGTAAATGAAATACGACGGGGGTGTTAAATTTAGACCTATTATATCATCCATATAAAGTAAATTTAGATAATGAATGATATGTTCCATCATTTTAAATCACATATTTTTATTGTTAGGGTGAAGATTGTGTTAACGCGTTCTTACGAAGTCCAAACTGTGCAGTAAACTTCAGATTCTTCGTAAACCATTTTGGTGACCAACCGGCGTATTGGGGTGTGCATGAGGACCACTCAAAGGAAAAACGTCCCAGACCAGATATTTCAAAAAATAATCAAATGATATGTTCGAAACCTTCGTGAAAGTTTTAATCAAGTAACAAGGAAGAAATTGTGAAGTGCTGGTGACGATACAAATACTGGGGTGCATGTGAGGGCCATTAGGACCCAGACCCAAATATCTCTTTATTGAATCAATGGTTGAAAATGACGCTTTCCATAATAGTTTGTCATGTTTTAATAAAGAAGTGTTTAAATTCTGGTCACGATCCGACGTTTGGTGTGTATATGAGGACCATTTAAAGAAAAGTTTACTGTATTAGACCTACCCGTAGGCTGAAAAAATAGGTATATGATAAATATTTAAATTAGTTCAATTACAGTAAATGTGTACAGCGTTCTATATAGTATTAATACAAGGAAGTAAATAAATCGTTTCTATTGGACTTGTTTATTCAATAGCGATATTTCACATACAATCCAGGACGCATCATCAGGCCAACTGGTGCTCTGTGACTAAAGGTCGTTGACCTGTGACGTCAGATGGAATGTCACAGGTGGAACTTGTTGTATAAACAAGTAAGTCCAGTAGAAACAATTTCTTTACTTCCTTGTACTCATTATATGAGTAGTGCCAAAGTGCGAGTCAGCGAGTCATGCGAGCCAATGTGCGAGTCATGCGACCCATGCGAGCCACATTAAATTTTTTTTCAGGTTATCCAGTTTTGCAAAGACGTAGGCCTAGCCTATATTCTTTGGCCTAGTAGATGCAAATGAATAACACACCGGGGAGCTTTGCCTTTGTAGTCCAGTCATGCGCAGTACATATACTTTTGACTTTTTCGAATCGTCGATCCAAAAGTATGCAGCGCTGATAGATGTTGTTAAAATACAGATATACAGATACATACATACAG